TTGCATGTCTGGCTTTTCGAAATAAACAGCAACGAAATTGGGCGAGTTTTTACACGCCAACCAGTCAGTTACTTTCTCAGTGCGTTTCTCAAAGTAGATAACCATCCCTGTTTTGTTGAACTGGTCAACACTGGGATTGCGACACTGGGAGTGCGATACTAGGGGAATTCGAATTTTCATTTCCGGGGTATCGAATCACTTTCTGGCCCTCTAATCTAGGCAATTCGTAATTGCTGGTCGCACTGTAATCGTGTGTTTTAAATCGCGAAACGTTGTAGAAAAACTGGGATGAAAACCATCCCCTGACCAGGCGCCATCTTGGAAAGCAACCACCTGTGATCAGGCATTCTTTTTCAATAGCAGAGGGAAGAAGAAAAAAAAGAACGTCTGATACAATTGCTTCGCAAGTTGTCTGCCCGTAGTCCAGAATCTGGACTTTTTGCTGATTGGTCGTAAAACAACAGTCTTTAAGCCCGCCTTTCTCATTGGTTACACGATTGGATATCTGACTTCCGGTGCAATTTCAAACGCGAAGCCTGACGGCTGCGGAGATAAATACACTCATAAACTTTGAACTTTCAGCCCGGGGTCCTTGACCTTTATCGAATATAACTTCGTCTATTCAAGATTTTATTCGAAAATCCTTATAGAGAGAGGAGATGCTATGCATGCTTTTTATCCAAGATAATACGAGTCCTTAAGTCGCACCTATCGACAAAAGATTTAGGTAAAGGTAACTCCGCTAATATGACAACGCTCATCTGCTATTTAATTTTGGACTCAGCAGACAATGAGTTTAAAAACCTCTCTGCTAAAACATTCGAAGAGGAAAAAATATAAGAATACACTCGTATTTCTTTTGCCCGAATGTTAAATAACCCCCGTCAACAAATGTGTGACAACAAATCGTATACCGATTAAGACAAGAGTATAATTTACAACTATATGACCTGTTATACATTACGACTTTTGTACACCTTGTAACGCAGGCTAGGTTTACGTCGCCATAGAAACATGACGTCAATTTTTTAAAGACCAAATAAACACATTGTTCGTGAATTTCATACTCTAACGACAATTGAAACATCTACTTCAATATGTATACTTTCTTATCTGTATAACTCGTCACGAGAATACTACCGTCTGGTGCTGCTATTATTCCAACAGGTCTTCGTAACACAACGATACTTTTACCAGTGAAGCGACCGTCTAGAGAAAATTGCTGAACTCGGTCGTTTTCGTAATCACAAACAAGAAGATTATTGGAACTATCTACATGCATGAGGTACGGATTATTAAATTGTCCGTCTTGATTCCCTTGTTTCCCAAACTTGTATAAAAAAGTTCCTGACTGATCAAAAACCTTAATGCAGTGATTGTCTCTATCCGATACAAAAGTCATGTTTTTGAAAGGAATGCAGCCAGTTGGATGGTTGAGTTTCTCTGGACCACTGTCTCCAAATATGGAATGAGTTTTTCCCTCCTTGGATATCACCTGTATCCTATTATTGCCCCACTCGGCTACAACAATGCGTCCTTTATCATCCACACAAACATCAACTGGATACTGAAACTCTCCCTTTCCTGCACCATACTTTCCAAAGCTCTTCACAACAGTTCCTGTCTTGATGTTTAAGTGTTGTATTCTATGATTCCTGCTGTCTACAATTAGAATCTCCTTGTCGTTGAAAAAAGAAACGCCGCCTGGGTACTGACACTGTCCAGAATTTGTGCCATGGCCACCAATTTTCCTTAAACACTTGCCTTCTTTATCGAAAACGTAAACAAAGTGTCCAATGTTATCTGTAACAGCAATATTGCCTTCCATGTTAATAGCAATTCCATATAGTCTTTGGAGCTCGCTTTCTTGAAAGAATTTTAAGTCCAAGTTACCAACTACAACAAGCTCGCGTTCTTTCACCTGCGTATTAAAAGGACAGGTCGGAAGTTTGTCGCCATTGATCTTCACTTCAATGCTGTAAGCGCCTGGTACTATTGGAGTAAACTTCACTTGAAGATTACCGTCTTCTTTCTCGTTCACAATCACATTGGTGACATCTTTAGCGGGTTCTATCAAAACTTCAACTTGATCTTTAAGGTCAGCCTGGTTACTCGTCTTCCCTTCAGATGTTTTCGGGGCCCGAAAACATCTGAAATGAAGACGAGTAACCAGGCTGACCTTAAAGATCAAGTTGAAGTTCTGATAGAACCCGCTAAAGATGTCACCAATGCGATTGTTAGCGAGAAAGAAGACGGTAATCTTCAAGTGAAGTTTACTCCAATAGTACCAGGCGCTTACAGCATTGAAGTGAAGATCAATGGCGATAAACTTCCGACCTGTCTTTTTAATATACAGGTGAAGGAACGCGAGCTTGTTGTAGTCAGTAATTTGGACTTGAAATTCTTTCAAGGAGACGAGCTCCAAGGCTTATTTGGAATTGCTATTAACATGGAAGGCAATATTGTTGTTACAGATAACCATGGACACTGTGTTTACGTTTTCGATAAAGAAGGCAACTGTTTAAGGAAAATTGGTGGCCTAGGCAAAAATTCTGGACAATTTAAGTACCCAGACGGCGTTTCTTTTTTGAACGACAACGAGATTCTAATTGCAGATTACGATAATCATAGAATACAACACTCAAATATCAAGACAGGAAATGTTGTGAAAACCTTTGGAAAACGTAGTGCAGGAAAACGAAAGTTTGAGAATCCAATTGATGTTTGTTCGGATGATGAAGGACGCATTGTTGTAGCCGAGTTCAGCAATAATAGAATACAGGTGATATCCAAGGAGGGAAGAACTCATTCCATATTTGGAGGCAGTGGTCCAGAGAAACTCAACCATCCAGTTGGCTGCATTCCTTTCAAAAACATGATTTTTGTTTCGGATAGAGACAATAACTGCGTTAAAGCTTTTGATCAGTAAGGAACTTTTTTGTACAAGTTTGGTAAACAAGGGAATCAAGACGGACAATTTAATCAGCCGTACCTTATGCATGTAAATAGTTCCAATAATCTTCTTGTATGTGATTCGGGAAACAACCGTGTTCAGCAATTTTCTTTAGACGGTCGCTTCACAGGTAAAAGTAACGCTGTTTTACCAGATCCTGTTGGAATAACAACAGCACCAGACGGAAGTATTCTCGTAAGTAGTTATACAGAAAAGNGAGAAAATTCTGGAAAATTTAAGTACCCAGACGGCGTTTCTTTTTTGAACGACAACGAGATTCTTATTGCGGATTGCGGGAATCATAGAATACAACACTTAAACATCAAGACAGGAAATGTTGTGAAAACCTTTGGAAAACGCGGTGCAGGAAAAGGAGAGTTTCAGAATCCAATTGATGTTTGTTTGGATGATGAAGGACGCATTGGTGTAGCCGAGTGCAGCAATAATAGAATACAGGTGATATCCAAAGAGGGAGAAACTCATTCCATATTTGGAGACAGTGGTCCAGAGAAACTCAACCAACCAGTTAGCTGCATTGCTATCAAAAACATGATTTTCGTTTCCGATGGAGAAAATCACTGCGTTAAAGCTTTTGATCAGTCAGGAACCTTTTTGTACAAGTTTGGTAAACAAGGGAATCAAGACGGACAATTTAGTCTGCCATACCTCATGCATGTAGACAGTTCCAATAATCTTCTTGTATGTGATTGCGGAAACAACCGAGTTCAGCAATTTTCTTTAGACGGTCGCTTCACAGGTAAAAGTAACGCTGTTTTACCATATCCTGTTGGAATAACAACAGCACCAGACGGAAGTATTCTCGTAAGTAGTTATACAGAAAAGAAAGTATACATATTGAAGTAGATGGTTCAATCGTTAGTGTGAAAAAATTCTTCATGTCTTACATGTGAGACGGGCCATCTCTTAGATAACAATGTGTCTATTTGGTCTTTAAAATATATGGCGTCNATAATCTTCTTGTATGTGATTGCGGAAACAACCGAGTTCAGCAATTTTCTTTAGACGGTCGCTTCACAGGCAAAAGTAACGCTGTTTTAGGAAGACCTCTTGGAATAACAACAACACCAGATGGAAGTATTCTCGTCACTAGTAATAAACATAAGATAGTCTACATATTGAAGTAGATTTTTCAATTGTCGTTAGTGTTTCAAATTCACGAACATTGTGTTTATTTGGTTTTAAAAAATTGACGCCATGTTTCCTTGGCAACGTAACCCTAACTTGCGTTACAAGGTGCTCAAAAGTCATAATGTATACCAGGCCAAATAGTGTAAATTATATGAGTGTCTTTATCGGTATACGATTTTTTTATCACACATTTGTTGACTGAGGTTATTTAACATTCGGGCAAATGAAGTATGAGTGTATTGTTATTTTTTTTTCTTCGAATTTTTTTAGCAGAGGTTTCAAAATTGATTGCCTGTTGAGTCCAAAAGTAAATAGCAGTTGTGCGTTATCATATTAGCTGAGTTACTTGTTACCTATATCTTCTCTCGATAGATGTGACATAAGGACTCGTATTATCTTGGTACGCGGTTTTATCTACTCTCTCCCCAACCCAGAAAAAAATAAACTAGGTGACCTCGCAATGAATTGTACATTATTTCAATGAAAATTTCATGTGACATGAAATTTTCAGAAAAATAAATTCTGATAAGTTATGTGTAATACTTTTTACTGTCTTTAGGTGAGGCATAGTCATATAATTTGTATTTGTAGCGCCAGAAACAATGAAAGAAACTGTTATTACCTGTATGTCTGAGACGACTTGTTGCACGTTGTTAGATTAGGTATTTGGTACTCCAAAATGAACGTTTGCACGTTGTAAAATTTACTTTTTTAAACTTTTGTTCTCTAAAAGCGAAAGCCGGAAAGACGAGTGATCTTGACTTAGCGAGCTTAATTGCACTTTTTTGCTGCTGAAAAGGCAAGGGGAAAAGGTAGTTATGATTGACGATGACACTTTTAGACGTGCAACTCAATTTACTTTTTACTGTCTGAAGAACA